CAGCATCGACATCCACAGCTTGCCACGCCTTGCCCATGTGCTTGACATTAAAGTCAATCTGCACAGCATAGACAGCATAGACAGGTGAGGGGCCAGGTGGATGGGCTACGCACTGGAGGGGGTGACCAGACGCAAGCCGCGGACCGGCTAGACAGAGACAAAGGAACGTCAATGCACACCTCTTGTTCACTTGCAAGGGGCCGGCCAGGACGGTTGATGTTAAAGACAAGGGCAGAATCATCGCGCAGCGTCGTGGTGATGTCGGTCAAAAGATCATCAGTGGGCAGGCGCAGGCTGGTCACGTGGGCGCGGCGTGTGCCATCAGGCTTGACGCTGACATAGCCCTGGAAGCGGCGGGCGCCTTGGGTATCACGGGCCAGTACAGCTTGCAGGTCTGCAGGCGTCTGGTCAGCGGTGGCGGGGCGTACGGCGCAGGCCACTGGATATCGGGTGGTACCAATGCGGGAGGTACCACGGAAGAAGGTCACGGGTTGCCACTCGAGGGTCGAGCTGGAGTGAGGGCGGGGCCAGGGGCGGCTATCCAAGGCGACTTCAGCCGAAGAGGCCAGTTCGCCATCGTGCACGGGAAGCATGGTCCAACTGGCTGGCTTGTCCTCAGTTTGGGGTTCCCACACCACCACGAGACCAATGACGTCAAGCCGAGAGCGAACACGAGCGCGCGGGTACGTCAGATAGATGCCGACCGCTAGGGGTTGGGCGGGGTCAAAGTCCACCAGGGTCAGGGTTCCAGGCCGGAGGGGTTCGATAGCCATGGCCGCTTCTCGGCCGCGGGAAGAACCGAGGTCAAAGGCCACTTCGGCGCCCATCTTGAGATCCACTTCGCGCTTGGGGCCGGTAAACTCGGGCAACACGTTGCTTTCGTGATAATAAACGTCCTCGGCTAAGCCGAGGGCGGCGATAAATCCAAAACCACCACGACGAACGAGTTTGACAATGCCTGTGTGCCGCGGCTTCTCTTCGACGGCCCAGCGATGAATCTACATGTTTCGAGGTCGATGAACGTGTGGCCGAGGCAAAGCGGTGGAAAGAGGACAAGAGAAAAAAAAACATAAAATACAGAAACAAGAGGAGAAAAAAAAAAAAAAAAAAAAGGCAGGGGAAACAAAATGAAAAAAGAAAAAGGCCCGAATAAAAAACAAGCTATTTTGAGAACATGTTGGATGAGGCAGGGGGGTAGGGGGCAGGGGCGCGCACCGTAATGGCTTTGGGTTGGCCATAGCGAAGGGTCAGGCGGAAAGTGACTTGGTCGCCCGGGGCGAGGCGGACATCATCGGGAACCTCGCGTCCAAGGAAGGGGATGTGGTAAAAATAGGGAAAGTCGGGGCGCGGGTCGTTGAATTGCACCTGCAAGTAGGAAAAGTTGTTGTTACGTTGCGGTTTACGCTTGGAGCGTGGGGGTTGGGCCTCGACAATGGTGCCAAAAACGGGGAAAGCCAGGACGGGCTGCTGGGTGTCAACGGGGATGGATTGAAGGTCTACGGCAAAGTAGCTATCGTGGTGGCGGTGAATGCGAAACTTGAGGGGTGCACCGATCGCGACCTCCTCGGGCTGGCATTTGAGCTCGCGAAAGTTGAAGTAAATTTGTCCAGTGAAGTGGCTGCTGGCAATAAAGCCGTAGGTGTCCATCAGGCGGGAAATGGCACCAGTGCAGAAGCCGCGGTTCTGGGCGGCCTGTTCGATGGTGGCGCGCTCTCCATAGAAGGTTTCGTTAACAAAGAGAGTGACGTCCCGGAACTCACGCCCTGTGAAATCTGGTGCCACGGGCTCCTCGGGCACAAAGGGTGCCAGCCCGTGATCGTCTGAGGTGCGGTTTGCGCGCAGGTCGGTGCACGAGGTTGGGGCGCGGTGAGCACATCGCTAGGCAGTAGCAATGGACACCGGGGTGAAACGGTGAGACGGTGAGATGGCGTGACACAAACCCATGCTGGCTGATCTGCGGGGCGGAGGGAAAGTCGACGAGCCTGCTGTGACACAGGTGATGTGATGGAAATCCGGCGAGGCGAGCTATCGACGCACAAGGTCGAGAGTGAGGCCAACAGCAGTGGTAGGTGTACGCAGCCCTCTGAGGATACCCGACCCGGAGCTTCACAGCGGGGAACACGCTCCACTCCCAGCAATGGGGTGGGGGGGGGGGGGGGGGAACAAGGGTGCGTCGGAGTCAAGGTGGGAAGGGACCGACCGCTTCAGGTTCAGTGAGCTCGTCGCCCTCGTCGTCGTTCGTCGACCTTCGTTCGCGAAATAAAATCTGACGTTGGTTCTCTGTGAGATCGGTTCAAGTCTTCGCTCTCTCTGAGTTTGTTGGTCACATCATCATCTTCTCTGGTTTCGTGTAATAAACATAGTGAAGGCAATTTGCTGGTTTCACTTATTCTCTGACATTGGTCCTGGTTCAAGTCAACGGCCCTGCCAGTACACGTGTACTTCCGACCCCTCTCTGGTGCTGGCACAGCATGTGATGACCCCTCTAATTTGAACATGTTTAGATACAGGATGTAACTCGATTATGCAATCGTGAGGCGTCTGACGCCGGGCACCGGGGGTGCCCGAAGCAGTTCTTTTTGGGAGCAGCAGCTGTGAGTCTATGTGGGCTTGCAGGTGTTCATCCTTTCTATCGTCATCTCTATCATCACTTAAAAAGAGCGGGAGGGGGAGTGGAATGACACTCATCTTCTCGTCGCTGCACACACTTGGACACCAACGGCTGGTTGGGTAAACGGACAATCACGACCGACTCGTAGGCGCGACAGAGAGGCATGGCAGAAGATACTCGCTAGTTAACAATGAAACAGTTGAACAGGAACGGAGGCTGCTTCGTCCTCAGCGACAGTGGCAGGAGCCCGATTTGTCGTCGTACTCTGCGCCGCACAAGTAGCAAAACTCGGCACAGCAGAGGCAGACCATGCAGTCGCAACCCTCGGAGCGCTCGACCACAACGTGGCAGACGGGACAGGGCATAAAAGCCTTGTTGTCGACAAAGAAGGCCACTTGGGGGTCCAAAGCTTGCCGATGGCGCAGCTGGACGGCAGTGCGGTTGACCACAAGCATGTGGGCCAAGAAGGGCTCGATGCGATGCATGTCGTCCACATCGAGTTGGTGCTTGCAATTGGGGGCAAGGCACGGCATCACATGCCCGCCACGGCGCAGCTTGTCCGCATAAGCCTGTTTCATGCAATCTCGGCAAAAGGCGTGCTCGCATGTTGATTTGCTATGCTACAATCATCATCATCATCATCATCATCATAATATTATTATTCGGCATCGAGAATACCATCCCCCCACACGAACAAACACGCAGCGCAAACAGATGAGTGACGGAAGGACCCACAAAATGCAGCGCCGGCAGGGCCTGGGACGGCGCAAAATTAATCGACGTACCGACTCCAGGCCGTGATCGTAGATACTTGGGTTGAGAGCCACGTTTTCTTCCAAACAAATGTCGCACTGTCCTTGCCTGGTATCACAGTCACTCACAACCCCGTAATTGCTCAAAACGCGACAGACGCGGCACTCGCTACTGCAATCAAATCGTTGCCATTGTTCGTCAAAGGAGAGCTCGCTCTCGGCGCTGTTCTGACCCTGCTCGTCGTAGGTATCCTCAACAAAGGGGTATTCCTCGAGCCATAGCGCAACACACAGTGGTGCTGCGACTGGTGCACTATCGGTAGCGGCTTCAAGCTGTGTGCTCTCCGAGGGTGCGTTCTCTGCGGGAGTGCTCTCCACGGGGAGGGGGTGGACAGTGCTTTCGGGGGCGACGCATTCGCTGGTCGTGCGAGCCGGGGCCGACAGCGAACGCTTCACCAGCTGCAAGGGGAGGGGGCTGATGGGGGGCTCGAAATCGCGTCGACTTGTGGGCGCCTGATTAAACTCGGCTTCAGTGTGTTGGTGTGACTGCTCGAGCTCGAGCATGGCCTCCGATTCCAGACTGACCGGGCGGGGCTCGGGTGCGGGCAGGGCAAACATGTTGCCGAGATAGGCCTCAAAAGTGTCGGCCAGCCGCGCGGCCCATCCGCTTTGATCGACTCGGACAAGTGAAAAGGACATGGGATGCAAAGATTGGGGCACGCGGACAGCGAGCGGCAAGCGGGATGGCTCGTGATGTGGCGTCGGGTCTGGCGATGAGTCTGGTTAGGGGCGTGCTTCGAGTAGCACTCAAAGTCAATCTAGATCAAGTCAAGACCAAGGCTAGGAAAATGAATGTTGGAGTCGATGATGGCTGGGAATGTCGGCGACAGCGGTGGATCAGAAGTGCAAGTGAGTTATGGGTGAAGGTGCAAGCACGCAGCGATGCAAGGCCCTTCCTTCTCTTACCATCCACCAATGGCGAATGACGAATGACGGGAGCAATTAGGAAATCGATCGATCGATCGATCAATCGTATTCATTCTTGCTGGCGTGTTAGGTTGGCGTTATGGTCTTGTCTGGGCCGGACTCCCATAATTGGCTTGCGCGCCAGCTATTCTTAAAAGCGGAAGGTGGGGATGGTAGTTCACTGTCTTCGTGGGCTGGTTGTGCCTGCTAAGAACAGCTGTTACAAACAAAGTTGTCAATAACAGAGTCTGGCTAAGTCTTGTCCGACGAAAAAGGGTCCATCGAAAAACACGTGTGCAAAACAGCTGTTCACTTGATTACACAATATTACACTTCAGACTCAAAGCATCCCGAGGCGTTGTATCGCCTCGACTTTGCCCTCGGGATTCTCCCCCCTCCCAACACCACGTAAGCTTTAGTAAGCATGTAGGCTTGGGAAAAAATCTTTTACAAGCCTACAACGTTGTGCAAGCTTATCTTTTCAGTAATGTTTTTTATTTTATTTTTATCTTTTATTTTTTTTTATTTATTTAATTATTTTTTTTATTTCCAAGCCTTCAGCGTTACGTGTAATCAAACTCTTCACTGATTTTCCTCATTAGATTCTTTTCTGAAACTCAACGGCTCTCCTCCTTTTATTTTTTTCTTTCAAGCTCCCAGCCAATTGGCACCTTCGCATCAATGGCCATACGGCCCAGCTAAATGTCTAATCACCCCGTCTGTGCTCTTTGCGACCAGCAACAAGCCAAGCCTCATCAGCATGCCGAGGCTCATCATCCAGACGTCTCGCTTGACGTCCTTTTCCCCACTTTCATGTGGACGCGCTGCCCAGCTCCCGAATGCAATTTCGTGGCCCATGAACAAGATGTTTATCGGTTTGAAAAGCACTGTGTCAGTGCGCATCCCCTGGAGGCTTTGGTGATATTTCGAGGGCTCCGCCCAGCAGCTGTTCAGTGCGATTGCGGGCGCCTTTTTGCCACCAAGTCGGGCCTCCGGCGCCATGTTCGGGACCACCACTGTGGATCTGGCTTGAAAACAGCCGAAAAGGTGTGTCACTGGCGACGCCATGCTTTGTCGATGGCGGATCACTGTGCATCAACGCACAAGTAAGCTGTTCATCTACACCTAACTGTGCGCATGTCCTTGCTGGCTTCGCAGAGTGAGAAGTGCGACGAACCAGATTGTAGCTTCGTTTCAGTCAGCGAGGCTGGACTGAAGCGGCACAAGCAGAAAAAACACGGTGCATCAAACGTACGTGTGACGATGCGTCTTTCGGTTCGAAGGAGCAGTGCTGCATTTTTGTTTTTTTTTACCATGAGCTTTGTCTGTGTATAATCGGTCCTTCCGCAAGCGTTCGCTAAGCCATGATACGCCCATGATACGCTTTGGATTTGTAGATGACTAAGGGAGTGATTTGTCAACGTCTCGGCAACGGTAGCAACTGCATATTTGACCCACAGCAGTGCGAGCGTCGGTTTCACACTCGCGAGAAATGGCTGCAACACGCCATTGAAGATCACAAAGCACCGTTCGAGCTCAAGCAGCTATCGTTTCTCGATGAAGCAGCGTTCGATGCCTGGAATCATGCTCTGCATCAAGAACGAGGGCTACGCTATGATCTTCACGGTACACTGTACAACTGTTCCTATAACCGTTCAAGCAGCGCCCTCAAGAGTGTTAGGGTCAGAAATCAGGACGCGATCAACCTCGATCTAACACCCGAGATGCTCGACAAGGCCGCCGGTGATCGCTGCTACTCTTTCTTCCGAAAACACGAGCTACCATCCGGAGGCATTGAGGCAAGAAAAATGTCTCCTCCTCTCCTGCTTTCTTCTAGTTTGTGTGCCGCTGCCTGGCACTTCTTGTCTCATGACCTGCCCTGTCGGCTTGCTCGACTCACTGGCCATGCCGTCTGCACCTCATTTCAAACGCGGGCGGGCATTCGCGCCTGGGGTAGGTTTCTTTCTTTGACGCTCATTCTCACCCGTACGATCCGAGTCGTGCAACGCTCTCTCAAGCCACGATTGATGAGATTCGCCAACTCTCGCGCCTGGGAGTTTCGCCAGCTCGTGGCATTCGTAAGATTCAGTCAACCAAAGACCATTACGCGCGAGATGCTTTTGTCGATCTGAAGGATTTTGCCAATCATGGCGTGAATGACGAGGAAACGCGCCTTCATGAAAACGACGATTTGTCGATGCAGCTCAACGTTAATCTCAATCGCAGTCTCCCCGACGATGAGCGCTTTATTTTGGTGTGTGCCATTCGCCTTTGCATGTCACCTTCTTGAATTAATTCGCCGTCTCATATGCCCATCTCATCTGCGTTGAGTCTTGACATAGATGGCGTACTATGGCCAAGAGTATCAACTGGTTTACTTTCCGTCTGGTGGGTCGTAACAGCTGCGACTGCGTTAATCGTTCTGTCGTGGCCAGTTGGAGGCACGCCCTGATAATAGGTCTTACCATTAGAAGTGGAACTGCCAGACCTCGGGGATGTGCAGATCTTTGTCATTCAGTATGAAAGCCAGCGGCGTTGGATGCGGACGTTCGTTCAAGAAGATTCCACTATTTATCTCGATGCCACCCATCATACAACACGCTACGCGCATCAATTGGTAGGTCTGCGCGTACGTGACTTTAAACAAGAGTCTGTTCGTTTCGCTTGCCCGATATTGTTTGCTGTTCTCATCTGTTTTATTTTTCTATTTTTTATTTATTTCTTTTTTTCTTTGACGGCGGGTGTGGCACAAGTTGTCACTCGTTGTTGAGGATCCCGAGACAGGCCGAGGCCTCCCCGTGGCTCATGCGCTCGCATCGTCGGTTAACACCGCTACAACGGCAATATTTCTCGAAGCTGTGTGGCGTCATTCGACCCTCGTGCCCGCACCAGCCGTCGTGTTGACAGACATGGATAACGCTCTAATCGCTGGATGTTTCGATGCGTTTTGCACGCGGCTTCAAGTGCCCCGGGCACCCAAGTCGCGCTGGTGCATTTTTCATGTGTACCGGGCCTGGTTTGGCCGAGTATCAGGCATTGCAGGCGATGCGCATAATTATAACGCTGATGAAATGCGTGCGGGACTCAAAGCACTGGCACGAGCACGCACGCCAGAAGCGTACCACTCCAAGCTGGCTGAGTTGCGCAGCCGCTTTGAACATGCAACCATTCCAGCAAGCACATCTCGTCTCGGTGGCAGTCACACAAGGCAATCTTTCTGGCGCTACTTCGACACGTATTTTGACAGCTACAAGGTATGTCGTTCTTGGGAACTTGATGCTCGAGAAGCGATGATGACACAGATATTGGCCCACTATCTCATGAGCACAGCTATATGAGATATCAGACTGTTCTACAAAGTCTTATTTCACTTATTATTGTCAATGTCACTGGCTCATCCCAATAGGAGAACTGGAGCAAGGCATGGCGCGATGGACATGCAACGACAAACAATTTTATTGAGTCATATCACGCCAGCTTCAAAGTGAGTGCAAGCAAGACGGTTGATAATGATATGGTTCTTTGATCAACGATTGTGAATTCTCATGACACACATTGATGCGATGTCCGGGTGACAGAACCTTCATCCCAGTCACACAAGCTGTCGCATGGACACAACTCTTGGAAAGCTCCGCGAGGCTGCGGACTTGTATGCCAGCGAAATCCGTGCCCAGATATACAAAGAGAAGCTCACGCGTTATGACAAACTGATCATCTCCTGCGTCAAAAAAGGCAAAACCTTTCCGCGAGAACACATCACCAAGATGGACCACTGCATGTTCCGAGTGCTCTCTGCTTCCATGCCTGGCGAATATTACAATGTCCAGGAGTCTGTTACTGGTACTTGGACATGTCAGTGTGATTGGTTTGACGCTTATCGACGGGCTCCAGCCGTGGCCGCGCGGACATGCAAGCACATCGAAGCAGTGCGTTTCCATGTCTTTCGCATCGACAACACATTACGATCCGGTTGCAGTTTTGGTGCCGACATCGAAGCACGCCTCGAGCCATACAACTACACATGTCGGGCACGGCACACCATTTCGGAGGCAGAGCGTCGTCAGCGAGCGATTCCGAAATCAGACTGGCCTGCAGCGACCGCGCTGGGTGCCAAGGCTAGTAAGCTTCTGAAGGAACTTTCGCGTGCAGTTGACGCTATGACGCTCTCTGCAACCAGCCCCACACCCGCCTCGACGAGGTTTCTTGCACGCCTCTGCCCTCTATTAAGCGAGATATTGTGCGACCACGCCGGTCAGTCTGTTCGTCATGCCCTGTTATGCCACTCCGAATCACCATCACCTCAGTCTGCCAAATGCAATGATGTACGCAGAAATTGCGGTCAGTCAACAAACGGGGCCTGAGCCGGGTCCGTTGCCAGAGTCGACTCTGGCACCTTCATCCCATTCATCACCTCCTCAGACATCTGTCCTTCCCAGCATGACGCACGGCCCCATGGATGATTGGTTGTTAGGCGCAAGACGCCATTCGCGAACAAGCCATCGAGTTCAACAGCCCAGCACAAAGCGTCGGACCAGGCGGCAACCCATGCATAGCGCATCAGGCACGCGTCGCAGTTTCCCCCCGTGTGCCTCCCTTCTTGGCTCAGGTACTTCAGCCCTTTCACACTCGCAAAACGCGAACCATGAGTCATCGCACGAGCCATCACCCAAGAAGCAGAAGGTATGTCGCCACAGGGCTACATGCATGTAATTAGCCTCTTGTGACACAGGCTCATGCGTCTGCACCAATTAGGTCATGCGTCACGGGTTTGAAACCTTTGTCGATCCGCACAATCCGAGTGCTTTGACCACAGGCTCAGCAGTGACATTTGCAGCTGCGACCTTCACACCCCCTAGTCTAACGCAGACCAGCTCTGAAACAACCGCCACTGAGCATAACATCAAAACGACCGAACCACAACGACTACAGCTCTCTCGCCGAATAAAACGAACGTCACAATTTGTGCAACAGCTGAACGGAGCTGTTTCGAAGGAGAACGATGCTGTGCAAGACTCGACACCAATGCCAGCTCGCTTACTTGTTCCAGTGGTTTCCGACAAAGCGACGGGCAATGACGAGACAGGATAAGACAAGGTGTGTCAGAGTCAATTAGAGCTGATTTACATGTTAAAAAAAAATTGAGATTAACATGTTAAGGAAATACCAAGTGATGGGGGGTTTTTTTTTAACGTAGGCTTGAATAATAGGGGAAAAAACACGTATGGTTGGAGTTAAAGGGAAAAATAAAGTAAATGAAAAAAAAAAAAATAACATTACTGAAAAGATAAGCTTGCACAACGTTGTAGGCTTGTAAAAGATTTTTTTCCCAAGCCTACATGCTTACTAAAGCTTACGTGGTGTTGGGAGGGGGGAGAATCCCGTGGGCAAAGTCGAGGCGACATAACGCCTCGGGATGCTTTGAGTCTGAAGTGTGATATTGTGTAACCAGGTGAACAGCTGTTTTGCACACGTGTTTTTCGATGGACCCCTTTTCGTCGGACAAGACTTATTCCGACTAGGATAGCTGCTCCTTTGCTCCTCCCACATCACAATCACAATACGACTAATAATCATCGTCAAACAATTCACTGTTTTGCAAGTATGCATCTCGCCCACATCCCACGATCACGATGCTAACATGCAAGCACAACAAACTTTGAGCGCGAGGGTTGCATTGCGTGCATGTACGCAAAGTGGGGCGAGAAAAAGGGCGCATCAAGCGCACCGGCTTGGTCCCAACGGTTAAACAATCAATGCAGTGCCCAGGCTTGTGGCTCCCTTTGGTCGTCTCCCTGTGTCCGTTTCACCCGGTCCCTCGTGCATCATCAGACCATAACCGCCAAGCACATTCACCAGTCCTCGTCAACCATTCAAGGGTCTTTTCAAACAAAGAGCAAATTTCGTGTCCGTTGTTGATGGATGCATGCATCTCACGCTCCCTCCGCCCCCGTCGGTGCTAGCGATGGCCACAGCGAGCTCATACTTTTGATTGTTTTCGCTCTTGCTTTCCCCCCCGTTTAATGTTAAACGCCACGCGCCTGTATCGCCGGCCGTCAAGTCTCCCTGTTGGTGGATGATCGTTTGCCGTTATACCTCTGTCATCAACGTGCATCATCACCAACCGGGCCCTTCATTTGGCCAAGCTTCCCTTCCCCATTGATCACTTGGTGAGCTCAGGCGTCCCTTTGCAAATCTCATTCCGTCGACCAAGCCCCCCCCCGCCCCCGCCGGCGCTCTGCCGTTCCGGCTCTCATCTTGCCTGTAATTTCGTGGTCTCGCACCCAGCCCACGATCTCGTCGACTTGCATCGGCGCTAGTCGCATATTTCCCCTTTCCCTTCCCCTGTGGGCTCTCCTCCCCCCCTCTCTCGTTTCTTTGCTCCTCGTGCTCCATCTCCGTTGCTCGACTTTGAGGTGCGTCGCAGTCATCCGTTGCCGTTTCGAAGCTGGCCTCGCCATCTCCATTTTATCGTGTGTTGTGCTTTTGTTGGACCCTCCTTGCATCGCCTGCCACTTATCTTCTGCGCCTTGCTTCTGTCGTGGCCTGCTTGATTATCGTCCCACCCGTCAATCAACCCGTTGGCGTCTACGCTGCTTCCTACCGCCGCTCGTTCCTCTAGGTCGATCCAACCCATTTTCCAGCGTACTTCTTTCTTCGCCTCGGCTTGTCGGCCGTGCCACCACAATGGCGTTGTCTCATGCCACGCTGGTGGCGGCCCTGGCGCTCACCTGCGCCAGTCTGACGATCGCCCAAGTCGTCTCGGGCGACGGTGTCACCTGCATCAATGGCGCTCTCCAATCGGATGGTGCCAGCTATCGCGGCAACCTTTCCACCACCGAAACGGGCAAGACTTGCCAGGCCTGGGCCTCGCAAACGCCGCATGCTCACAACCGCGTCCCTTCCAAGTAGGCCTGTTTCTTGCTTCGTCAAGCCATCTCTTGGGCCGCCCAAGTCCTTCATGTGGAGATAACCCCAGGCTCACCTTTGCCCTGCCCCTTGTCTGCTTTGCTGCTCGTGTAGCCCATTTTTTGCCAATGCGGGCCTCGAATCCAACTATTGTCGCAATCCAGATGGCAATGATGCCCCTTGGTGCTACACCACCGACCCAGACCAACAGTGGGAGTACTGTGACGTCTGCGGTGCGTATCTCGCGGCACGCCGTGGTTTCCCTTGGTCGCTCATGCCTGCAATTTCTTTCCAACCTGACATTGGACGTGTGCACAGCTGATCTCTCTGCAGGTGTAACCGCTGCTCCGACCACGTCGACCACCACGACTACTACCACGACCACTACCACAACTACTACAACTACTACAACTACTACCACAACTACAACTACTACCACAACTACCACGACTACCACGACTACCACGACTACCACGACTACCACGACTACCACGCCTGCAACGACGACGACCACAACTACCACAACCACCCCAGCCTCGACCACCACCACCACCACCACCTCCGCTACGGGCACGCGCACGTACACCCTGGCCCTCAACAGCGATGCTACGCTGTACGAAGACGATGGCATTGGCGAGAGTTTGATGGCAAACGGCGCTGGTCAATTCCTCTTTGCTGGCAACAACGGAGTCAATTCGATTCGTCGCTCCATCATGACCATTTCGACTGCTTCGCTTCCGGTGACCGGTCTCGTACGTCACCCCTTGCGCTCGCATCGGTCTCTTGCATGCATACAATTCTTGTATCTCATCCGTCGCCTTATTTTTCCTCTATTCTTTAATTTTGCTTTTGCATAGGTTCTGGATGCTACCTTGGTGCTGCACGTCAACCGTAGCTCGGCTGGTGGACAAACCTTTGCCCTTCACCGACTCACGTCCTCCTGGACTGAAGGTTCCGTTGATCCCGATGATGTGAGTTGATCAGCTACCCCTTGCCCTCCGATTCATGTCGATGCGCGAGTTTGGCATGCTCAGTCCTTGAGTGCCATTGCCTCATCCGCGATGCTGTCTGTCCACTGCGGTCCTTAGATGGAGGGCACTGGTGCGCCAGCCACGCTTGGATCGGCCACCTGGAATCACCGTTCTTATGGCAGTGCATCTTGGAACACCCCCGGTGGTGACTTCATCTCTGTGCCATCAGCCTCGGCCAGCGATGCCGGCGAAGATTCCTACCTTATTTTTGAGGGCTTGCAGACAGACTTGGCCGACATGATTGCTAACCCAGCTACCAACTTTGGTTGGATCCTCAAGGCCGCGAATGAAAACACGGCCGCCACTGCCAAGCGGTACGTCTTGCATGAAGGTCACGTTGAGGCAGTACCATTTCTTTGGAAGGCCATCTTCTGACCGTTTCCTCCATGATTTGCATTGCCACCGTAGATTTGAATCGCGTGAGAATCCTGATGTGAATGGAGTGCGTCCTCGCTTGGTGGTGAACATTCAACTTGGTGGTACCACTACTACTACTACCACTACCACCACCACTACCACTACCACCACTACTACCACCACCACCACTACCACTACCACCACCGCCGCTCCCACCACCACGTCTGTGGTATCTGGGGAAATTACCCTACCTTCGGCTTCGTACACCGTTGCGCTGGCTGCCGTTGACGCTCAAGTGGCCGTGTTTCCAGCCAGCACCAGCGTCACGGCTCCTGTCACCATTTCCGAGACTACCGTCTCCATCTTCCCGCGCCTCAATGGCAACGATGAGGTGCGCTTCAAGTTCAGCATTGCGCATCTCAACAGCTCTCAGTCTTGCATCAAACCGCTCTTGTGTTCTCATTTGCTTTTGCCGACCTGGGCCCGGCTTGGCTCACTTTATGACCTGCTATTTGATTGAATGTATAGACGCTGACAGTCAACCTCAACGGGCTGGGCTTGATTGGCGTGTTTACTCCCGGCTCGGGCGTTCTCGAGATTGCGGGTTTCGCTGCCCCCAGTGTGTACGCAGAGGCTCTGCGTCGTGTTGTGTACTCCAACACGGCCGGCAGCAATAAGATCGTGGGCACGCGCACCATCACCACGACTTTGACACAGTCGAATGGCGCCACCTTTTCCACCCAGACCTTTGTGTTTGTCTCGGGTGCTGCCACTACAGAGGAGCCAGAGACGACGACCACCACCACCACCACTACGACCACCACTACTGTTGCCTCCACCACCACGCCAATGGAGCCCTACGCATCTCTGTTGACGGGCCTGACTCTCGAGCGGTACACCGACTTTGTGTTTCTTTTGGCCGCCAGCAACATGCAGAATTTGCTTGCTACCGGCAACTTTACCGTCTTTGCACCTTCGCGCGAGTATTTTGCCAACCTAACAGGCGAGGAGTACAACAACCTCCTCGCCGATCGTGTGGAACTCGCAGCGGCTGTTGGGTTGCACATTGTCCCCGGTGTGTTCACCGCACATGATTTCATGGGTGGTGTCCGCTTGACCACGGAACAAGGTGCTCGTCTGCGTGTTCGCGACTTGGAGGGCTCGTTCACCGTTAACGGCGCTCTCATCACCCGCACCAATATCATGGCCCAAAACGGCGTCATCCACGAGATTGACGCGCTCCTTCTGCCAGAGGACCTGACAACCGCCACCTCGACGTCTTCCTCCACCTCCACCTCTACTTCCACCTCGGCCTCGTCTTCCTCTTCCACGTCGTCTTCCACCAGTACCAGCACCGCCACCAGCACGTCTACTAGCACCGACACAGATGTGGTCGAGCCCTCAACTACGCTGGCTCCCACGCGTACGCTGGCTGATATTGTCTTCTCCGATCAGCGTTTCCGTAATTTTGTTTTCTTGGCTGCCTCGGTGAATGCCCTTGGTATTTTTTACGGTCCAGCTGACCACACCGTTTTCTTGCCAACGGGTAACGCTCTGACCAGCCAGTTGGTGGCCGAGGTGACTGGCAACACGACTGCTATCAGCGCCATTATCAACTACCACATTGTTGCTGGCACGCACCTTTCTGGCGACCTCGTTACAGGCGCTCGCCTCAACACACTGCAGGGCGGTGCAGTCCGCACCAGTGCCGCTGTCAACGGCGGTCTGGCCGTCAATGCTGTTCCCGTGCTCGAGGCTGATGTTCGCGCTACCAACGGTGTTGCGCACATCATTGATGAGGCTGCTCTCATGCCCTTTGGTCCGGGCAGCGGGGATCTGGTCTCCACTTCGACCTCCACCTCCACCTCCACCTCCACCTCGACCTCGACCGCGACTTCGACCTCGACTGTTGTTTCAACGAAGGCACCCGAGCCCACCACGCGCGTGTACGCCTCGATCAATGAAGTGCTGACTTCCAACTTCCAGTTTTCCGATTTTATGTTCCTGAGCGTGGCTCTGGGTCAAAATTCGCTTTGGTCCGTGTCGGGTAACACCACTTACACGGTTTTTGCCTTCACCTCCAACGCCTTTAACAACCTCGATGCCAGCTTCTCCAACCAGCTGCTCATGGATCGTCCCGAGGGCACGCGCGTGCTGCTGTACCACGTTGTGGAGGGCACCTACGCTCTGAGTGATCTTACCCATGGCACGAAGTTGCCAACCCTGCAAGGATTTAGCGTCCGCATCACCGTAGATGTGGAGGGCACTGTCATGGTTGACGGCGTTCCCATCAGTGAGGGTGATATGATGGCCTCAAACGGCGTGGTGCACACGCTGGACGCTGCCGTCCTCGTGCCGCCCCTCACCACCACTACCACCACCCTGTCCTCGACCTCCACCTCCACCAGCACCAGCACCTCAACCAGCACCTCCACGAGCTCTTCCACCAGCACCTCCACCAGCACCAGCACCTCGGTGACCACGACGGGCGAGACCTTGGCCAGCGCGTTGCTCAACAATTTCGAGTTTAGCAATCTCGTTACGCTGATGTACGCCTCGGGCTACTTTGACGAACTCGAGAACCAATACCCTGTGACGCTCTTTGCACCCACCGACGACGCGCTGCTTGAATCGGCGGATACGATTGCACTGCTGCGCGACCCCGCTGCTGCGCGCGAGTTTTTGAACTACCATGTGGTCGCCGGTCGTTTGTACTTGAGCGACCTCTTTGACGGCCAGCGTCTGCAGACTCTGAGTGGACGCAACATTCGCATCACGATTGAGGAAGGCTCCGTCTTCCTCAACGGGGTGATGGTGAACATGGGCGATATCAAAACTGCCGACGGCGTGGTACACATCATGACCAACGTGCTTACCCCCAATGACGATTCAACCAGCACTATGACCTCGACCAGTACTAGCACCAGTACTAGCACCAGCACCAGCACCAGTTCGTCAACTTCGAGTAGCACCCTGGTGTCCGACGTGCTCGAGGCCTTGACGCGTCGTTTTGAGACCTTCTCCAGCTTGCTGGTCCTCATCACCTCGTCGCGATGGGAATCAGCGTTCCAGGCTGAAGACATTACCATTTTTGCTCCAACCAACGATGCCTTTGCTGCTCTGTCTGGGGGTACTTTTAGCCGTTACCTCTCGAATAATGCCGAGGCTCGCCGGGTGTTGAACAACCACATTGTGCTCGGTCGCCTCTCATATGAGGATTTGCAGGGCCGCACGTCGCTCACGGCCGTCAGCGGTATGCAATTGACGGTGAGCCATACTTTGGATGGCGTCGTCTTTGTCAATGGCTATGTGGTTGATTCTGAAATGATTGAGGCCGGAAACGGCATGTCTTTTGCCGTGACGGGTGTCCTACGCTCTGGTGTCATGGGTCCGGGTACGACATCCACGACCACAACTACGACCACCACGACTACTACGACCACGACGACGACGACGACGACGACCACCACCACCACCACCACCACCACCACGTCCTCGACAAGCTCGACCACGAGCACGGCTACGATTCCAGACTTTACGTGCCCCGCAACCAGCAGCGGCATGTGCGCCATCTTCGACACAGTGGATCAAACGCGTTGCGTCAACTGCCGGCGGTCGGTTCTGTTCCAAGGTTGTTGCCTGGATGCCTGTCCAACCGTGCCTTCAGGCAACGGGCAACCGCGATATGTGGTTCAGGGCACCGGTAATTACAAGCGCCGATGCATCGAGAATCCCTTGTGGATCCCTGCTGGCTCGACTGTGAACCAGCCCACCTCTGGACCTCTGGGCACCACGCCTCGTACCTGCCCGTTGGATTCGAGCAGCAACTGCAATGCCTTCCAGGGCACTAGCTGCACGCAGTGCCGCAACGGATACTACTTTTTGGACGGTTGCTGCTACTCGACTTGCCCGTCCGGGTATGTGAACGTGCCCAGCGGCACATTTAATTCATTCTGCAATGAGGAAAGCGACGGCGAGTGCCCCAACAACGCGGTTGATTGCAACGCCTTTACGACTGGCACTGATCAGTGCACGCAATGCCGCAACTCGGCCGGCCTGCTAAATGGCTGCTGCTTTGATGCCTGCCCCTGTGGTTTCCGCATGGTGGGTACCGGCCGCTTCAACCGCGTGTGCCAGCCCGATGCAACGCAAGTCTGCACCACCACGATCGCAGCGACGACGACGACGACCACCACCACCACCACCACCACGACACAAGCTTCAGTGTCGACGACCTTGCTCCCAGAGACGAGCGGTGATCTTACTTTGACGCCCGACGTGGCGTCAACCACCACCTGTGCTCTGACTGAATTGGTGTATGACTACGAAAGCACCAACGACAATCGCGTGCAGCGCTTTGGCTCATCGGTGCGGGTGGCCAGTTCGGATGTGCTGGGCGTGTCATATTGGCAATTGAGTTCGAGTGTCGAGTCCAACATTGCCTTTATCACGTACGATGTTCCAGTGGATGGCCGTTACGCCGTTGGACTGGCGTTCCCGGTTTTGGCGAACAACTCGCAAACAGCGGTTGTAGAAGTGGTGACAGGTGGTCAGGCAGCGCAAACGTTCTTCGTGAACCAGCAAACGCCCTTGCCCGTGGATGGCTTTACTGAGATTGGCGAGTTTGACTTCCAGGCTGGGAGCTTTGTGCAGTCTGTGTCCATTGCCAACCACAACTCGGGCACGCTTGTATCAGGCAACGTCGTCATTGATGCCATCCGCTTGCGTCAGACAGAGTGTTAAAGGAGTCGCTATTCAATTGTTCTTGTTACCTTATTTTTTTTCCCCCTCTTGATGTGTCATCGATGGATCGCTTCTTCCCATCGGCCATCATCTCAAGGTGGTTCGGCCAGCGAGGTATTGATCAGAGCCCAGTCCAAGACGCTTTGTGCATGATGCTGCATCTCATGAGCTCTTTCGAGACCAACATCGACTCCACTTGTTGGTTTTGATCTAGCGGGTACCTGAAGGGATGATGGCATCTCTGAGTGGATGCATGGCTGTGGAGCGCTGCGACTGGTTTCGCCTAGACGCCCCCGCCTTGCATGCATATGCCCAGAGTCCATCACATCCAATCCCGGTCTTTTCCCCGCGTTGATAGCATTGATTGTCTTGACGACTGACCTGCCTTGAGTTTTTTCTTGATTTCCTGTTGTCTTGTGTTTGGCTGAGGTCGCACCCATGCCTTGGAATGTTGTTCCGTCTCTCGTGTGTGCGTTCCGTGTGTTTAGCCAACTGTTTGTACCTGCGGTGGCGCTTTCGAGAGAATTGACGGCATAATATCTTTCGTCGACCAGTCGAGCTCCAGCCGGCCGCCTTTTTCTCATATCAATTCATCTGTCGGATTCGTTTTTCCACCAGTCGCCTATCATATCCAAAGCTGCCTTTCATGTATGTACGCCTAAAGCTGAGCCCAGTCTTGAAGCCTACCATGATTGCACAATTGCTCAAACTGAATCTAATCACCCATGTCCCTGTGTGATAGCTTTTGCCCCCATGCACAACACACTAACGGTACTGCCCCTTGATTCGCACAACAGACCAACACCTGCCATTCACGCTGCCGATCTCATGAGCTCTGAAGCAGCAGGCAGCAGCAGTGTGTATGTGTGTGTGTGTGTGTGTGTGTGTGTGAAAACACAGAAGAAGAAGAAGAGAGATGCTTGTACAAGATCTTGTTTTATTTTAGAAGCGATCAAGTCGGTGTGATGATGATGGCGATCGGAGGCAGCCGGTCATGGCTGGTGGTGGGTCTTGTGGCCTGTCTGGTGGGGGGTCAGGGGGTAGCAGTGGCTTATCCTCGAGATGATGGGCGCTTGCTGAACCAGGTTCCCATGATCTTCACACACGACAGTGCAACCGGTGTGTAAACGATCGCCCGCTCTTAAGTGTCAGGAAAAGACTCACGAGATCTCCATGACGGCTGACAGGCTACCTCCTGCACGACAACCTTGTGACGCAGTGGGCTCGGACCCAAAACGTTACGTTGCCTGGTCAGGTTAGTGCGTCCCTCGCCGACCTTTTCTTTTCTTTTCTTTTTTAAGCGTCATTCTCCACCCTCTTCGTGCTTCGCGTGACTATGCGATCGCGCCCTCCAGGATTATCCGATGACAGACTCATGCTGTTTCAAAACACGCTAGCTGGACTGTGGTGCTCGTGGGTTTGACTTCCGGCCCATGGTCCGAGAGGATGGCCAGCTGGTGCTGCACCACGGTGATGTGATTGTCCATGTTGAGGTGAGAAGGGTCTGCACACCCCCGCTTCAGTGAGCACTGTGAGCTTGCTTGAGCTCTCTCTAGCCTCTCGAGCAGTGTACCCGGGCACGCTCTCTGCTCACTCTGGATGGCCACGACGCGTCATATGGGCCGATCTCAGGTTGAAGTGGCCCTACAGGAAATCATCAATTGGAGTCGAACGCATCCAGATGATTTGGTGGTTGTCTACATCTCCCATTGCGACGGAACCAACTGCACACAGATGGCGCAATCCGCTGTGGAAGCCGCCAGCCTCTATGCAATCCAGGATTGTAGTGTTCTCCGCAACCTCACCTATGCCAACGCTGCCCGGGCTGCCAATGCCAGCACTTCGGGTGCCCCTGTTCTTGCCCTCTTTGGTACTTGATTGCAATCCACGCCTCTCCCCATGGGCCAGCCCTGATCTTCGCTGCACCTGGAAGAAATAGCTCAGCAAGTCCCTCCCCTCATGTTTGTGTTAGACTGCATGGATGAGCTGTACGATCCATCTGTCGAGTGCTACATGCGTGAATCTGAGTTGCACGAGGCCGTTTGTTATGATCCGGCTACGGAGTCCTTGCCCGTTAATCATTTCCTGTCCTACCTGTCAAGTGGGTACCCTCTTGCAGCCGTGTTCCAAATCCACTTCTCTCGCAATTGCTTTTCCGCCAAATCCTCCGCCCCCTCTCTGCCTAATGCACAGCACACCAACGACCAATTGCCTAGACACGACAGCCCCTGCGCGTCACGAAGACGACGGCCTCCTGTGGCTGACGCAGGCACACTGGCAGTACTCGACAGCCAGCGTCACGGCTGGTCAGTTATTCCAGCTCAATCTTCAATCTCTCTTTCGCTTGTTCAGTCGATGTTTCGATCTCGCGGCAATATGTGCAATGCACGTTCGTTTCATTTTTGACTCTCCATGATCTTGGTTTTTTTTTTTTTTTTTTTTTTTTTTTTTGTTTTCTTTTTGTCTGCCGCTGTACAGGCATGGCACACGAAAGTTCGATTCTTCTGGACGAGGAGAGGAGCCAAAACAACCAGCGAATCGCCAAACTTTTGCAGCAAGGCGCCTTCAAGCATCTGAGTGTGCTCGAGGTGGGTTTTTTTCGACAAGCACTGTCTGTCGGTGCCACTTGAACCCATCACGCCTTTGATGCTGACCACTGGCGCGACTCGTAACACCTGCCGCTGCGCTGCTCTGTCTGCTTGTTGAACGCAGCTAGACCATGTATGCGACCAAGGCAACGTCATATATAATCTGTTGGCCCAACGAGCCTAGCTGCAGCAGAGGTTCGCGATCAGCAGCGCCATGTTTCTTGTTTTTTTTTTTTTTTTTTCGTATCCACTCACACTCAAAGTTTTCCTCAATTGCAAATCTTGGGCAGGCTAGGTTTACTTCAAGGCATCCCGACTCAGGCCAATCGTTGAGTATGGAATTCAAAAACTCAAATCTTAATTGACATTTTTCATTCTTGATCTGTGGAGGCCTGGGGCTGGCGATCGACCAAGTGGCCCGGTGCAGTGGACGCGCTCTCCGACGCCCACGAGGCAGGTGTGACCTGACGAAATGTAAAATTCAACTGCGTGGGCATACCCGCGTGGGCCACACTCGACCATTCGGGGGTAAATGCAAAAACAGGCTGAATAGCGTGGCTTGGAGCACCAGCAACACGTGCTTCCTGCTGCAGAACCTGGGCACGACCCGTGACCTTGCAGTCGATGCCGCCAAATGCATACGGATTGCCACTTGCGTTGCCTGCCTTGGGCAGATCGCATCGGGCTGAAATTTGGTTGCAAGGATCGCCTCGAGCCAAGGGATCATTCTCGTAGTCATTGGCATTCAGCAGTGCACTCATGCTATTCAATGAGGTCACCTGATAGAGAAACAAGAGCCAGGGAAACGGGGATGCGAAAAACAACAATCAAGCTTTTCATCAGAGTCAAACATGCATGCGTACGAGGCGGAGAGGTCACACAAGTATGTTGCCTGACCGTATGCTGATCGCGTCGGAAGATGCGAGCCCGCGTGTCGTTTTCATAGCTGTAGCCTTGTGCCGCATAGCCAGAAATCTCAAAAATGACGGGCGAACGGGGAATGTTGTATGAAGCGATGTACCCCTCTTGGTTAATGACAGCACTCAGATCCGACCTGGCCGCATGGTCAGAGCACAGGGCAGCATGAGGCGGTGTAGTGAAGAGAATCAATGCCTGACATGGGTTTAAGCTCGACGATTTCCCCAGCATGTTTGCCAAGACAAGGTGGGCCAGGCAGAGTGGAACACGAGTCCATACGTTTCAATAACGGCCACCATTTGCTCCAGCATACTCACGGCGTGAGCTGGCAGATCCGTGCCCGGCTACAAGGCACCAACACATTCATGAACAATTGAAACAGAGAAACGATATCCCTATTGCCAGCAGGCGGGACTGACCGTAAATAGATTGTAGTTGGACACGATCCATTGGTTGTTGTGCGTGCCGCTGTTCTCTCGAGCAAAGAACTGTTGCACAAGGCGGTCAGAGCGGGTGATTGGACGGTAGAGCACACGCATGCTAGTGGATGTGCGCGCATCAACACAGGCCCAGCTCACCTCCATCCATGTATCACTGCTTGTGGCCAGACGATTGGCAATCTGGGGAAGGCCGCCAAACGTGCTGCTGGTCAGGGATAACTGTGTTATGTTGTGTTGTGTTGTGTTTTCTTTTCATTTTTTTTTTTTTCATTTTTCTTCTGCTATAGCTCGGACACGAGTGTAAAGCCAACTGACCTGACTGCGCATCCAGCAAGGGACCGAGTTGGGCTGAAGTGTGTTGTATAGACTCTTGTTGAAGACTGTCAGGGAGGTTTCAATCACCGTGAGGTTGGCGCTGGTCTGGAAATAGTCATCCTTGCTGTGCAAATCGCCTGGACGTGAACTGAAGGACACCACGTTGCCCGGAACACCCGGAACAATGTAATGCTATATCACGAGCATGATCATGGCCGAGGTCCAGCCGCGGAAGAGTCACGGACATAAATGGAGTGGAGACAAGGTGCAGAAGACGGGCAAGCAGCGGCATCGCGTCAACGTATGAGCTCATGTACAGATGCGCCATGACTGCAGGCCAACAGTAACGAAGCAAAGGCCGAGTTGAAACCAAAAAGGTCGGTTGTACCTTGTAGATGCGCAACATGCACCAGTACGCGTTGAAAGTAGTGTGGCCCGTGAAAAGGTCGTCGCGACTTATCGTAAGTTTCACCAAACCAGAGCAATGCATGTGTTCGTAATCCGGGAACTCGTTGTGGAGAGGCTAGAGACGCAACAAGCAAGGTGGCGCGGGACAGCACGATCATATTTTTTTGTGAACAAGGTGACCATCGGCATGCCAGGGCGCACCGAGGGCTGGGTGTCGTGGGTGGACGGACCGCCACATAATCGACGAGTGCTGAAGCCAAGTCCTCCAGGTCCCCGGCCAAAGTCAGAATCAAAATCTATGTCAAGCCGGAAGGCATCCGCATATTCAACATCAAGTTGAGACAAACTAGCTCACTTCAGGGAAGCCTTGGCCAGTGATGCTTCGCACTTGATCTGGTTGCAACTGCTGCTGCTGTGGAGCAGTCAGCATGTATCCATCTTGCACACCCCGAGCCTGCGCAAGCAGATGCCCTGCTTGTCGCCAGAAGGGATCGGCCGGATTGCGGCTCCACTGCGAGTGACGCGAGAGCGGGTACGGTGCACGTGAGTCAACGCTTTCGCGTCAGCAGCGAGATGAGGCCTGAATTCTGATCAGCATTGGTTTAGTGACCTGGTCTGAAATGTACTTCAGCTGAGCATCGACAAAAGCCTGCAGCTTCGAGGGGAGGTGGCCCTTGTCCAGGTAGCCGTTGGAGGCTTCAAAGTTGAGAAAGGCGTCGTAGATCAGGGGTTGACTTAAGGCACCCTCAAGCAGACCCATGGCATAGGCAGCCTCAGACGAGTTGCAAACTCCAGTCAGGGCTTCTACCGTGAGATCTGCCCAGCCCGTTTCATTGACGCCCGGAAAGTAGCTGGCCCGAGCACAGTCTTGGGGCGAGGCGGAGCTGCTCAGGATTGGGTCTATCACAGGGGCAGGGCGCGCGAGTGAGGCGTGTCGGTGCAGAGGTAAAAAAAGTGGTCCTCAGCAATCACTCCTCGCGCACCTCCTGTTTCTGAAAAGCTGGCATAGAGCAGCTGGGTCGTTGGCATTTGGTGCGCTGCTAGCCTCCCCGCCAGCGCCAACAGCGCCAGCAACGCCAGTGTGAGTGCTCTTGCTGAAGGCATTTTGTAGCAGCTATACAAACAAGCCGGACCCCCAGCATGTAAGATCAGGCCAGCAGGACAGTGGCAACACCAAATCCAGGACCAGAAGCCATAAAATCAGTGCTAGGACCAGGTCCAAGGCCAGGAACCAGGGATTCCGGGAACCAGGGAACCAGGGAACCAGGGAACCAGGGATCTAGGCACCAGGGTCTAGAAAATAGGAACCAGGAAACAGGGACCAGGTTACCAGGAACCAGAGTCTAGAAAATAGGAAACAGGAACCAGGGAGCAGGGCACCAGGGCACCAGGAACCAGGGAGCAGGGAGCAGGGAGCAGGGCACCAGGGAGCTGGGCATTAGGGCACCAGAGCATCAGCGGATCGATCAACTTGCCACTTTTTTGCTGACAAAAATGTCAGCAGAAGAAGCTGTGCCGTATGAAGCAAGTATTTTACTTTACCCGTTCCCAGTTAGAAGTTACATCATCCAAACAGTCGAAAGGTCAAAGGGTCAAGTCGAGCACGATTTGCAGGTCAGTCAGTGGCAGCGCCGGGGACGGGGACGTCTCTCTCTGTCTCTGTCTCTGTCTCTCTCTCTCTCCCTCTGTGTGTGCGCGCGCGCGTGTGTGTGTGTGCGTGGTTTGGGGGCAAGAGGGCAGGGAGGTGAGAAAAAGGGATCGGGCTGTGACAGGATGTGGGGTGAAGGGCCGGGTCGGAAACTCGTGTCTTCACATCGGATGTTGTTGCCTGGGGTCGGATGTAGGAAGACTCGGAAAGATGGGGGAGGAAGGCTCCGACTCAACCAGGGTGGACCAGGCCATGGACCTGTATGCCAAGGCAGCTACTTGGCCTGTCGTGACCGAGGGCACTGTCCGCTGCCGCGAAAGGTAGGCTGGTCGCAATGTGTGGAGCGGTACAAGCACCGCTCTGGGCCTCTGCCGACCATTTCAATCCTCACTTACTTCCTGCACATGGTGGGCTGATAGCGTGTGGCGCGTAGAGCTTGCTGTTCGACAGCGTCACTTGGCAACACACACCAAACTCGAGAGCACCACTACTGTGGCGCTCAACGCCGCCAATCTTGCTCAGGTAATCTTTCCTCGTCTTGGCAGTGTGGGTGTCTCAGCAGGTCTCTGTTCAAACGGTATGTTGATGTCACGTCATCCTTTTGCAGCTCTATACCTCGTCGACTCCAAAAGCCAACAACATTACGAGCAGCCATGCCGCCGACGATGGTGCCGACCCCGAGACATTATCCAGCGCCCGTATCGACCACGTGGAAATAGAGGCGGCCGGCGACAAGCGTCGCTTCCTTCGCTACTACTCGAGCCCAGATAACTTGGCCCACAGCCTCGAAGTCACCCACCTTCTCGACGTCAGTGTCACGCCCCACAGCGTACCTCGCGCCAGTTGATTCTCTCGCCCGTCCTGCTTCCACGTACCAGCATGGCTCAAGTAACCATGGCTCAGGTCTGCCATCTCATGAGCAACGTGGCAAATGTGGCCCCATAGTACGTCTACGGAGAGGACGTTGAATTTGCTGGACACGCTTGGTCCCCAGACGCCCTTCACTATGCTTTTGTGGCCGAACAAAAGCAGCCGCGTCAGGATCACTGGTGCGTGTGCCCCTCCCTTCTACCCTCTCTTTGTTATGCGCGCGCCATTCTTTTCTGCTGGCTGAGTTGCTCGACCTCTTTCCCTTCGGCGGCGTTGTGTCCTGATAAACATCTGCCTGTACATGTAGGTGCAAGGACCGCGAGCACCCCCAACCCAAACCGACCTCTCAAGCAGAACAAGCCGCGCACAGCACCTTCCTGGCTCGAGAGAACTGGGGAGAGGGGCGAGCAAAGGTGATGGCGCCAGTGCTCTTTCTATTCGATTGTGTGACTGGCCGCCTAAGCACTGCCACTCTACCTGCGGGCGTGCTGCCCGGCCAACCCCTTTTCCTCAACTCGACACAACTAGCCATGGTGGCCTGGTCCAATACTGCGCCCCGCCCACCCGGCATTCTCTACTGCGCCAACCGAGAAAGCCGGTGCGTTCCAAGCTCTCCAGGCGTTCGGCACCGAGGGTGTGCTTTTTGGGGGTTTTGGTATGATTCGGCGCAAAGCATCAATCTGGAGGCAAGGGCTCACTGGAATGGCCCCAAAACTTCTCTGCTCTTTGCTGCAGTTTGCTTGTGTACCAGCTTGACGAGCAAACCTCGAAATTCGTGACGCCCGTGGGTGAACACGTCCGCTCGCCACGAGTAAGTGCCCCGCCGCCAGAGTTTACATCCACGTGCGTATAAACTCCCGTGGAATACGGTAAGGCGCCACACACGTCTCATGGCTGTCATGAATGTACGACGTCGTTTGTGAACGCTCTTAGCGCGCCCCTGACGGCAAAGCCCTCTGTTGGCTTCAAAACGAGGCTTTGGGCACTCACGGCAAAGCCAGCAACCTGGTGGTCTGCACAGATCTGGATGCTTTGCAATACAACGTGGTGTTTACATCCCCAGGCAGGTTCAGGCTTTGGCTGCTTGGAGACCATCATAAGGGGGCGCCATCTCAACCTGCATGGGGCGACTTTGTAGAGCACGGCGAGACCCCAGGCCTTTACCTCTTACAGCTGCCCAAGATGTGCTGGCATGCCGTCAACGTCCGTTAGCTTGCCCCTACCTTGTACATCTTGATGAGTCGATATCGATTTGCTTCTGTTCTCGCCACTTGGAGCAGGGCAGCGTGTCACTCTTCTGGCCCCAACCCCTATCCATGGCACGCAGGACAAATGGGCCGTTTGCTGTGATACCCTGCTGCACACCCATCGAGTGGCCGTGCAAATTGACTTGACCTCTGGTGAACTCACGGTTCTACATGGTAGGTTGAACCAGTGTGCACTTGCTGGGTTTTGTTTGATTCATTGCAATCGTTTCTTGCAAGGGAAAGGAGGGGCGGAAGAGAGACTTTGGAGCTCCGCCAGCACTCACCCCGATGGGTTTGTTGGGGCTTAGCAACGGCTGGAGATGTTAAGCTTTTGGCCTCGACCCAAGGCCGTTTGCTCCTCCTGGAACAGTCGCCCGCCTCACCCGGCCGCGTGATTCTGCTGGATGACCAGCACGAGCATCCCGTACCCGTCTGGGGTAATCAGGACCACAAAATGGATGGTATGTGATTGAATCGTTGGAGAATCTTTGGAGCATCACTGTACTCACGAGCTGCATTCGTACATCACCCACCATGTGTGGTAGTGGAGTGGTCCTCCCATGTGCATCAAGTGGGCGCGGGCGCCACAGTGCCCTACATTTTGATGAAGCCAGGAACGCTTGCGCCACGTGAACTCATCTTGTTACCTCACGGCGGGTATGTGTCCATTCAGCAATAGCAAGCGACGAATGGGGGGGAGAGGGGGGGAGCGGGGGAGAGAGAGAAAGGTTCTTTTCTTGTTTTGGAGGGTTTCCCCAAGACTTTGCTTTGTTCTTGGTTTGTAGCATCGTTGCCGTGATTTGTTTATTTATTTATTTTGCTCCTTTTTAGGCCCCACTCGGCAGTGAGCTGTGGCTTTACCCCACTCTTGAGTGCGCTCGTTGCTGTGGGCTATGGCATCTTGCTGCCCAACTATCGTGGCTCGCTTGGGAATGGCACTGCAGCCGTGGCTTCGCTCGTGGGCAAAATTGGCCAACAGGTGTGGTTCACTGTGGCGATGGGACGCAACAGGCCCACACCAAGTGCAGGGTAAACCACCTGAGAGGGCTTGCATTCTTTCACCTTGTCTTGCATGCCGCTTACTGCGCAGGACGTGGCCGATACCATGGCCTGCTTGGATGAGGTGCAGGCTGCCGAAGCTTGGGCAGCATCGCTGCCGGTGCACGTCTTTGGAGGCTCGCATGGTGGATTTTTGACAGCGCACCTCAGTGGGCGATTCCCGCAACGCTTTCAAAGCGCAACTTTGCGCAATCCTGTCATTGACGTGGCCTCAATGATTTGTGCGACGGATATCCCCGATTGGTGCTTGGTGGAGTGCGGTATTCCCGAATCCACTCTTGTGTGCAACATGACGACAGCGCAGTGGGAGATGCTCCGCCAAGCCTCGCCCTTGCAGTATGCAGGAGCTGTACGTTTACATGCCAGTGTTTGAGACTCAAAGCCACTCGGGCTGGTTATCCTTTCGCCTTTTCAAATGGGCAAATGATTTCTTCTTCTTTTTTTTAAAGAGAAAAGACAACTGACATGTGTGCGTTCGCTCCCATTGCTGGTGTGAACCATCACCACAGGTGGCTTGCCCGTCCCTGGTCTTGCTGGGCGCAAATGATCTGCGTGTCCCTCCATTTCAGGTATGTGCAGCCGACGATTGGGCAATTTACTCAAGCGCCATGCCAGGCTCACAATGCATTTGGTTTTTCATGTGAATGTACCCATCCCCGTGCGACCATGCCCATAGGGCCGTATTTGGCATGACACCTTGCGCCGTTGTGGACGGGCCTCGACCTTGCACATTTACCCGGACGACAGCCATCCCTTGAGCTCCAGCGCCTGCGAGAGCGACGTCTTCCGTACCCTCATCCACTTTTGGTCCATGCTAGAGTAACCCCCAAACCATCAGCTACTCCACCTCAAGCCACCTCCGCGACCCCCTTACCTCATGATCCAATGGAAGAAGAACAAGAAGCTTTCGGATTTTGAGTGTGTGCAGCGTTTTGTGCCAATTTAGGCTTGATCCCTTCAAATGTCAGCACACACACACACACACACACACACACACACACACACACACACACACACACACACACACAAAGGGGCGGGGCTCTGTTTTATTTTATTTTCTTATTTTCTTGTGCGTGTGGGGGGGATCCGGATGTATTTTTGTTCAGCGCTGGTCTGCTGTGGTCTGCTGTGGTTTGATGGGGGTTGGTGCCTTGACACACAGGGCCACGGGTGCCGACCGTGGTAGTTGGCTGCGCGTGTATTGAGCGGGAGGGTTTGTTTGTTTGTCTCCGCTTGTCTGTGCATCCGTTGACGGTGATTGATTGCGGGGCTGCTGTCGGGACGGATCTGCCCATCTGCCCATCATGTCGTTTGCTCCCCGATCCAAAAAGGCCAGCGCGAGTGCCGTCCAATCGGCACCCATGGACTTTAAAACGGCTGGCTATGAAGCCGATGATCAAACTGCCGGTGCTTACTCTTCCATGCCCGCGCCCACGTTTGGGGCCAAGGGCGGGCCACAGAAGAAGAAGATGGCCAAGAAGGCTCCCCCCAAGAAGGAGCCCGCTCAGAAGAAGGCGCCTTCCAAAGCCAAAATGTTTTCAAAGTCAGCCGCCAGCTTTGCATCTGATGACGAAGGTGATGATGATTTCAACCTGTCGGGCTTGAGCGCCAAGAGCAAAACCAAAACCAAAACGGCGCAGTCTGCGACCAAAACGCAATCCGCCTATGATCGGTTCGTGACAGCCACATTGAGGCAGCGAGAAAGCGACGCCAGCTAGCCGCCATGATCTGCCGTGTGCGCCTGCTCCCCATCTCTTGAGCATTGGTCAACCTGAACACCTCTCTTGCTCATGATTGAATGGTCTGGTCCATGATGCTCGGGCATGGCTTCGACTGGCTCGCCTGTAGCCTCTTCAAGTTTGTTCTCGTGGGCAGCAGTGAATCGGGCAAAACCAGCCTTCTCAATCGCTTCGCAGGCGGCACAGGCGACAACATCTCCACGATCGGCATTGATTTTGTACGAAGCCCAGCCCCGCCTTACTCATGGCCTTACCTGATGGCCAGTGACCAGCGATCTGGGTCGGTGTCAGCCTCTACTTTGGAACATCTCACGACCAGTTGCTTCTTGGCGTGTTTCTTGATGATTTGCAATCCTGCTAGAAAGTGAAGCAACTGCAAGTAGACGGATCCACCGTCAAACTTCAAGTGGTCGGTCCCTGTATGCTTTTTGGTGTTTGCCAGCGGTTCTCTTGTTCGCCGGCTTGAAGCTGACCGCTGACCTCGCCCTCACTTTACTCGGCAGTGGGATACCGCTGGCTCTGAGCGTTTCAGGCATGATAAATCTTGCAATGGCCCGCCCTCCTTCTTGCTCACGTATCCAGATAGCCATCTACCACCTGCATGTTGCTGATCTTGTGTTCCCCTTGTGCGCTCATAAAATGCCCTGACAGGTCCATCACCACCAGCTATTATCGTGGTGCACACGCTGTCTTGATTTGTTTTAGCGTGACAAAGCGCGTAGGTTGTCGTCATTGGCCGTGCGTGGCATGTCAATCGTCTCTGGCCCCCGCTCTGGCCCCCGCTCACCCCTCTTCCTGCACATCCCACATTCAGGCCACTTTTGACTCGGTGCAAAGCTGGATTGATGAGATTGAACGCAACGTTGGTGAGGATGTACAGTGGTGTCTTGTCGGCACGCAGGCAGATGAATCTGGCAGCCGCACTGTTTCGGCACAAGAAGCCTCTTCGCTGGCCCAACAAAAAGGCATGGACTACTTTGAAGTCTCAGCCAAAACCGCTCAAAACGTTGAGCTCCCCTTTGAGACTATGGCACGGCGCTTAATTGCTGCGTACGAGCTCCGCCCCACGCTCCCTCACTCCCTTCCTTTGAAGCTCTCAGCTCCATCAAGCGCCTGTGCTGACCGCATGCATCTCATTTCAATGCTGACTCTCATCAACACCTATTATCCCGTCATTGCGTCACGCGCAGCTCCAATGGCTCGCCACCCTTGCCACCACAGAGCAAGACCATGGCCACACTGACTCGTGAGGAGATGCTCATCGCGGCTCTTAATAAAGCCCAGGGTAACACCACTAAGAACCGCAGCGTCGTGTGCGTGCTAGTGGGTCCTGGTGCTGCGGGCAAGACTACAACCGCACGTTCCCTACAAAACATTGAGTTTTCTGAGGTTCGTGCCGATCGCGCGTAAGACTGTGCTCCAAAAAAAGCGCAGTCGAATTTGATCACACAACACTCATGTGCATGTACTCAGGAGCGTGTTTCCACGCGAGGTGGCGATCGCATGGACTTGCTGTGTCAGCTAGACCAAGACCACGTGATAGTAGACAAGAATGCTTTCGTCAAGGTACATCCTCGCTGAAAAAAAGGCCGGGGGAGAGGATGGAGGGGTTCATCGGGTGCGGGAGGAGCGGGGGCTGCATTGCGGGAAAAAGGCATAGATCATTGCTTTTGAGTTTTTCTGATCAATCTTTGCATAAGTGCAATCCCCATCGTCTGCAGGCACACTGACCAGCTGTTACCCATTTTGCGGCTTTCTTTCTAGGTCGGGGGCGTTAATCACACGTCGCGCGGCCTTAAGGTGGAAGATCACGCTGGAGATGGTCAAGACTTTAATGCCGGGCGAGAAGGCTATGAGTTCCAGTCCATGGTTGAAGCAGAAGCACGTTTGCAGCTGGACTTGCCTGAGGTCGACGATGATGAGGATAATCTGATTGAACTCGACAGTGATGTCACGACTGAGGCTAAAGGTCGTGGGCGTAATCGTCGCCGCAACAAGAAGGTCAAGGACAAGAGCAAAGAAGTTGACAAGAACGGTACCTCAAGTCCTCGACGTCGCTTTTCTGCCACCCAGCCTCAGGTGGCTGAAAAGGCGCAAATGACTCGTGCACAGCAACAAGTTATCTTGGCGTCAATGGATGAGTAAGTCACTCATAGCTTTCTTTGTTCTCGACCATACACGTACACCTGGGTAAAAATGTCACGTCTCACTCGTAATTCGATTTGCCTAGTTCACAGGCTGAAGGCACACACGTCAACTTCTTTGACATGGGTGGTCAACTCGAGTTCAAGTCTCTTGTTGAGGGTTTTTTGCGCTCAGGCAACGTTATCTGCATCTTCTTCACCATGACGGAGCTTCTGGCCAATCTGCAGAATGCTCAGAGTCTTCATCCAGACGACAACTACACGGGTCTTGAGCATTTCATGTCCTGGTGCAATTCAGTTGTCTCGACTTCGAGCTACGGGCCGGTATTTCTCGTTGGCACCTACGCTGATGCCGTACCCGACCAAGCTGACCGCCAAACCATTTCAGATGGCATCCGCCGAGAGTTGGCGCAGCGTTATCACGAGATTCGTGATCGCATTGTGGCGCCGAGTTCGAACGAACCCGGTGCCAGCGCCCTCTACTACTTTCCCGTCGACAACACCCGCTCAGGCGAGGATGCAGGTGTACAACAACTGCGTGCTCAGCTGCAAGATGCACTCAACTCAAGCCGGATTGCCAACATGGAGGTGCCATTGGAACTTCGCATGTGGCAGGATCTTATCAATACCCTAGCTTACCCAGTAAAGGAGGAGGCGGTCATGAGTGCTGCGTGCCATGCCATACGGCAGCGTCATGGTCGCCCTCTTGAGGGTTTGGGATCCATCACCCTGCGCGACCTGGCTGAGTTGTACGATGAGACCTTCCAGACTAGCCAACGTACCTCTACCACCGACGCTGACTTTCGCAAGGTATGTGGCACACCGGCCCTTTGAGCACCCGCTTCACATAGAGGAACATGATGAATGCCGTTTCATGTATAAAAGCGGGACACTTCGCTTTTCGTGTCGACTCAATTTGGCCGGGAACCGCGTGCGCTTTGGTCTGTAGTGGGTTGATGCAATCCATGCGCTAGGTACCATCACACATTTCAACTCGGCGCACCTTGAAAATGTGGTTGTCCTCAACCCCATTGAGCCGCTCAGCTATATGACGCTTCTGGTGCGGGATTTTCGTCTCCATCGCTTGGCGCTGGATAACGAGGTCGAATTTAGCGACGACTTCAAGTTGTTGCGAGATGAGGGTGTGCTCGTTCCTGAGCTGGTGCGCCATTTTTTGGGGCGTGCTTCTGAGGCGGATACGCGACTGCGCAATCTTGACGAGCAGCAACAGCAACAGATTCTGGCACTCATGATGCAGGTCTGCCTATTCCTCAATGTTTTTGAAATAACTTTTTTGTAATTTTGAGCTTCTTCTTTTTTTTTTTTTTTAATGTGGCTTCAACGCATGATTGCTCATTCTTCTAACCCCTTTTTTTTTCGACTAGTTCAAAGTAGCAGTACCCATCACATACGGAACGGGCGCTGCTTATCTGCTCCCGGGTCTATTACCACAACGGCAACCCACGCTGGTCGACCAAAATATTCGACCAACCGAGGTATGTGCTGTGTATCCTTTTGAAATTTTCGCGCCAAGCCTCTTCTTGTGCTTTCTTAACTGCTCTTTGATGGCCTGCCACGGCTATTTTGATAGCTTTATATCGCACCGTACATGGGAGAAACTCTATCCCGTTTTGCTGCTGTGACGCATGATCAGCTTGGCGCACGGACCAATCTGCCGGCCGGCTTTTACGATAAAGTAAGCACCCAGTGCACCCTTTCGTTAAAAAAATCGATACTGCTGCCCGTTGGTCATTTGTGCGGTCACAAGGAGATAAGTTTGCACGCTCACCAACGGATCGTGGCTGTGCATCTGTGGTCTAGCTCGTGGCTGAAATGACAAGCCGAGCAGAGGGCAGCGCATCCACCACGCGGCGCCCTTTGTTGTCCAAGAGTTTGTCGCGTGTACATTTCGGACAACATGCCGTTGATCTCGAGGCCAATCGCCAGCTGGGCTGCGTGATTGTGCGCTTTTATGCCAAAAATGCCGTCGGGCTGATTCACCAGGTGCAAATTCGCTTTATCGCATTGCATTTGACTCGTCTCATTTGCCATTCTGCCAACAAGCCTCACAACTTCACCATTGGCTGTCTTATTAGATCAACGAGATGATTGCAGATGTGTTGAAGGGCTCTTTTTTTTCTTTGAAATACGACATCTTGATTGGTGCCAACGATGACATCCTGCTGCCGGTGCGTGCTAAAATGGCCGTGCGTTAGCCAATTTGTGCCTGCGTCTGTTCCACGCACGTGCGCTAATGAGCTTTGTTCTTTGCCGCAGATCAGCGTTGTACGCGATTTTTATTACCGCAAAGAGCAAACCTTGAATTTAGACTCGTGCTCATTGTCGCGAGCTGATGTTCTTGACAAGATGGGGAGCATTTTGCCCATTCAACTCCAAGCTGAATACTATCACGTCTTCATCTCTTACAGGTCTGAAGCACCATTTTCACGATGCATCAGCTTGATGATTCTTACGTTGCTCGTGGCATCACTGTATCAACTTGCATCAACTTAGGCACGAGCCAGACTCAACCAAAGGCGCTGCCACCTTTGCAAATGAGCTGAGTCTACACACGATTGGTCAAACAGGCGATCACATCAGCAGCTTTTTGGACGTGGTGAATTTGGAGCATGGCAAGCGTTTCGACATCAGCTTCCTCAAGGCGCTCGCAAAAAGGTGTGTTCTCCACCTGCGTACACAATAATGCATCACATTCTCACTTATACAAGCCTACACAGTCTAAACCTGTATGCAAATGCTGGCCGTTACGTGCCATATACAGCTTGGTCTATGTTCCACTCGTGTCGGCCAAAGCCTTGGAGCGCATGGAGGGCGAAGTAGGCTTGGCTCAGGTGGATCATTTCATGCTTGAGCTTATGGTTGCGGTTACGTTGGAACGTGCACGTGGCTTTCCTCGCATCTTGCCCATCTTTAGCGGCGAGGTTGGTCAAGCTTTGAGTTCCAAACTTTTTTTTTTTTTTTTTTTGTCTCTCTCTTCCGCTGTCAGAGCCGCTGATGCTGCTGTGAAGCATTGTCATGATTCATGATTGAACCTGATTGCCCTTGTTTGAGACAGATCGGCGAAGATGACGAAGGATTTCCGCGCATGGAGAGTTTCTTTTCCAAATACGACTTTGAGCATCGACTGCCAGACCACATCAATGAGCACACGGTAGCAGCGGCACGTGAGTTTCTTGAGCAGCACATGGGCATTCCGCTCGGGAAGCCGCTCACTGTGCGTGGCCTGCTGAACGAGATCAAACTCTACAACTCGCCATTTCTGCTATGGAACTACATGCAACGGGATGCCACAACCCCGGATGGACATGGCGGTCAAGGCTTGCGCACCCTAGCCCAGACATACCTGAATCTGACCCATGCCTTTAGCCATGCAGCTCGAGAGTCGCTTCATCATCTGGAGAGCGCCTTCGAGGAGTATGTTCAGGACAAAAACCAGTTGGCGCCCCGCGACCCCTTGCCAGCCTCAACCTCGACTCTCCCTGTTGGACGCTCTGCCAGCACAAAGCCGACGCCCACGGCAACGTCGCGAGCCGCCGCCCCGACGCAAAGTCCCAAAGATTGGGATATTGATCAAACCTGCGCTTGGCTCCGCACCACTCCCATTCGCACGTTCGAGGATACCTTCAAGCAGAACCAGGTGGATGGCGTGCTTCTCCTACAACTTGTGGACGCAGACCTGCAAGAGATGGTGAGTTCCGGCTTCTGCACTGTATCGGGGGATAGCCTCGCTGTGGTGATTGCACTGGCTGCTAACATTGAACCCGTTTTGCTTCCAACCCATCCAGGGACTCAAGCCCTTGCATATCAGACATTTCTTTGCTGCCCGAGAACAACTCACGGGCTTACCAGCGCCAGCAACCAAGAAGCGCTCTGCCGCTAAAGTGTGCATTGTCATGTAGTGTGATTTTCTGACAATTTTTAAATAAAATATATCACCCACAAGCCAATTTATGTTTTGCGATGTATATAAACAAAAATGCAGCCAACATATAGCATACTTACCTGCAGGTGCAGTTCGGTGGATCACGTAGCACTGACTGTCTCTCTGAGAGTTGCTTCATTGCACGCGGAAGTTCAGCTTGACGGGAGTGCCGGGGCCTCGTGTCCCGCGCGACCTGGTCATTTTTGGTTTGTGGACTGCGTTCGCGCAGTCCATGCTTTTCTATGAAATCTAACTGAAGCACTAGTGATGATTGGTTAATATGATGATGACAATGCACAATCAAAGTACCTGAACTTTGTGCCTGTGTCACTACTCCCATCACATCTGTCCTTTTGAGCATTCGCTTTCCTAGGCTTGATGTATGATAATAACACAGTGGGATACCCCCTAATTTTGAAACAGAAAGTAAACCGAATTACAATTTTCCCCGAGCAAGGGCATCAGGACGTCAAACCAGTTTTGGGTTGCGAGGAGCAGTAGGTTTGAGAAAGCGTTTTGAGAGACGAGACGGGGCGGAGCGGAAGCTTTTGCTGTTGTCTTGAGGTCAATGGAACCAGCTGCGGTCGACAAGCATTCACAGTGACCAGACCAGGTGCACCGTCAGAATAGCCGTAGAGTCACTCAATCCCGAGGATAGGGAAAGTGCAACTCGAACCCGACCGCAGGTGTCACAGCAAGGAGAAACAACAGTAGTCACAAGCGTATCGCCCAAAGGCAGCTGCTCGGGGATTGCGAGGCCCGCGATACACGCGGTGTTTACTCATGTGACCCCATAAGAGGGGTCAAGCCCAATGGGTTTATGTTAGCGTCAAATCCGTGCTTCCACGCATTTACGTGTTGGAGCCTGACAGTTTAAGTGTAGGTGTGTATGTGAGTCGGGGAGTGAGGTCGTAGCAGAATACTCATTGTGAACGGCACTGAGTGTGTGCGAAAGCAATGGGTGTTCTCAAATGTGTGGGAGCACGGATTTGACGCTAACAAGAGGTGTCTGTTGGGACAGCAAACTTTTACTGGGACCGGGCCAGGTGCACCGTTAGAATAGCTGAAGAGTCACCCAATCCGACGGATAGGGTGAGTGCAACCTATGCCCAAATGCAGGTGCCACGACAAATAAGAGATGACAGGAGACACAAGCTTATTGCACAGGGCAGCTTGCAAAGGCATTGCAGAGTACACGAGGCATCTGATGATGACAGGCGAGTGGTTTCGTGTGCCTCTCACGTGAGAGGGCTTGGGGTCAATAAGTTGCAGGTGTGTGTTTGTTGGTCAGTGAGTAGAGTCGTACGACCTATGGGAATTTGTTAGCGTCAAATCCGTGCTTCCACGCATTTGAACACTCCCACTGCTTTCGCAAACACTCAGCATCGGTCGCTATGGGTCTTCCTATTGGTATTCCATAGCTGCGACGACCTCACACATTGACACCTACACTTGGACCCCCTGGGCCTGATCCTCCTCGTGGGAGTCACATGAGTAAACACCGCGTGTGACGCGGTCCCCACGATGCCTGCGCAGCTGCCCTGGGGCAATAAGCTTGTGACTACTGTTGTTTCCCTTTGTTGTGGCACCTGCGGTCGGGCACGAGTTGCACTTTCCCTATCCTCGGGATTGAGCGACTCTACAGCTATTCTAACGGTGCACCTGGTCTGGTCACTGTGAATGCTTGCCGACCGCAGGTACGTCAAGCCCCCTGCCATTCTGTCTTCCCCTTGCTCTCCTGTGTGCTCTGCTCTCTTGTGAACTTTCCCTATCCTCGGGATTGAGCGACTCTACAGCTATTCTAACGGTGCACCTGGTCTGGTCACTGTGAATGCTTGCCGACCGCAGCTGGTTCAATTGACCTCAAGACACCACCAAAGCTTTCGCTCCGTCCCGACGGACGTCTCTCAAACCTCTCTCAAAACGCTTCCTCAAACCTACGCGCTTCCTCGCAACCCAAAGACGGCCTCCAGACGTGCTCGAGCCTGGCATCAATCTATTCTACGACTTGGGCCTGCTCTGAACGAGGCCGGTCTGCTCAGGCTGGGGCTGGACTGCTCATCTGCTCAGGAAGAATCTGCTCGGGCCGGATATGAACAAAGCTGGTCTGGTCAGCCCGAATTTGCTTGAGCTCGCACTGAACGAGGTGTCTGACCAACCCAGGTCTGCTCGGTCCGGATCTGAACAAGGCTGGTCTGCTCAAACTGGATCTGAACAAGGTTGTTGTGCTCAAGCCAGCTCGTCCCTGTGGCGATGACGACAACTGGTGGGATTGCCTCCTCCTTCGTGGATCTGCTTGGTCAGCTCGCCCGCTGCGCCGAGGCCCGTGGTGTGTACCAGCCGGGGCTGGATGAGGCCTTTGTTCCTCGGTGGAAGGGTCGCTTTGCGGCGCTGGTCCATCAGATGAACGCTGACCACATCCAGCGTCGCTTTGGCGGTGTCTGCCTGCGCTCGTCGTAGGTAGGCACCGCCTCGGGGGTCCCTCTGTGGGGATCCCTGTGTGCACCTGTCGCTCCCAGGGTGGTTCCTCGTTGTGTCTTTTGATGGCTTGACTTGTATTTTTGTTTAAATTTTGCTTTAATTTTTGCTGTATTTTGTGGTATTTTTGCTGAATTTTTGTAAGGTCCTTTGTATGATGTCTTTGTCTACTGTGGCCGGTTGTTTTCCTCAATCCGACGTTGTGTCTCGTTGGATGTGAGCGTGCCGTGGTGATCATTGTGTTTGTGCTGTGATGGCTTATACTTGTGATGTGTGACTGCCTTTTTTGGTGTCTTGTGTTTAAAATGGCCGTATTTCTGGTTATACTTGGTCGTTTTGTACGATTCTTCTATGTGCGTGATTCTTCGCGCTTGTACTTCTTGGCATGATAGGAGCCGATGAAATTGTCTTGTTCACTTGTGTTGTTCTGCGTGCCGTCGTGATTTTGATCTCGGTTTGTACGATCTTTTTTTCTATGTGCGTAATTCTTCGCGCTTGTACTTTTTGGCATGATAAAAGCCGATAAATGTAGCTTGTTCTCTTGTGTTGTTTTGCGTGCCGTTGTGATGTTGATGTCGGGGTTGCACAGCTTTGCTTTCAGCTCTGAGGTTCAAATACCTAATTTATTATTAGTTGGTACAGCAAGATGTTACACAACAAGGTGGGACAACATCAAGTACCAGAGGACACACAACGTGGTAAAGTATACCGTCTCAGATTGTGCCTCTAATACTGCCGGCCAGGGGTGGTGCTCCGTGCACTTTTGGGTATGAACATGGTGTCTACTCGTGCGTCGGGTGCACTAGTTCGCAAAGCATTGGGTGTTTTATATTAAAGGTGTATGTCCAGTACAGTGTAACGTGTGTGGACAAGGCGATTGTCACAGAGGTATCCAACCAATCGAAGTGCATACGAGAACATGGATTGAAGCAAGGCGAAGGAACAAGACAGAACAAGACAGAAGGAGGGAAGTGGAACGACCGAGGTCAAGAAGGAAAATGGTACCGATCCAGGGAGATCGCTCCCATTTATAGCAGGTGGAAACACACACACACAGTGGAGACAGAGAATGGACTATCACACTGAAGACAGGTGGAAGCGATATCAGCAATCTGTTGGGACCAACAGATGCCTCAACAAGATGGTACAACCAGATGTTACACAACAAGGTGGGACAACATCAAGTACCAGAGGACACACAACGTGGTAAAGTATACCGTCTCAGATTGTGCCTCTAATATTTTACCCTTTCACGCGATAAATAAATTAGGTGTTTGAACCTCAGAGCTGAAAGCAAAGCTGTGCAACCCCGACATCAAAATCACGACGGCACGCAAAATAACACAAGAGAACAAGGTACATTCATTGGCTTCTATCATGCCAAGAGGTACAAGCGCGAAGAATCACGCACATAGAAACAAACGCGATCTGGAGTACTCAGCGCCTGCGTGCATTGTCTGAATATCCAGACAAGCGCTCGTGGGTCTCTGTTTTGTTTTCCAAGCTTCCTGGTGGTCGCAAACGTTCTTGGGTAGCTATTGCCAAGACCTGGACCCTGCTCGACAAGGCCAGGCTTGTGCAGCCCACTGCGGGCCAGGGGTGGTGGGGATCAGACCCTGCACGACAAGGCCAGGCTTGTGCAGCCCACTGCGGGCCAGGGGTGGTGGGGATCAGACCCTGCACGACAAGGCCTGTCCTGATCAGAGCACTGCGGGCCAGGGGTGGTGGGGATCAGACCCTGCTCGACAAGTCAGGCTTGTGCAGAGCACTGCAGACCAGTGGCAGTGGGGATCAGACCCTGCACGACAAGACCTGTCCTGATCAGAGCACTGCGGGCCAGGGGTGGTGGGGATCAGACCCTGCACGACAAGGCCAGGCTTGTGCAGCCCACTGCGGGCCAGGGGCGGTGGGGATCAGACCCTGCACGACAAGGCCAGGCTTGTGCAGAGCACTGCAGACCAGTGGCAGTGGGGATCAGACCCTGCACGACAAGGCCAGGCTTGTGCAGAACACTGCGGGCCAGGGGTGGTGGGGATCAGACCCTGCTCGACAAGGCCAGGCTTGTGCAGCCCACTGCGGGCCAGGGGTGGTGGGGATCAGATCCTGCTCGACAAGGCCAGGCTTGTGCAGAACACTGCGGGCCAGGGGTGGTGGGGATCAGACCCTGCTCGACAAGGCCAGGCTTGTGCAGCCCACTGCAGACAAGTGGCAGTGGGGATCAGACCCTGCTCGACAAGGCCAGGCTTGTGCAGCCCACTGCGGGCCAGGGGTGGTGGAGATCAGATCCTGCTCGACAAGGCCAGGCTTGTGCAGCCCACTGCGGGCCAGGGGCGGTGGGGATCAGACCCTGCACGACAAGGCCAGGCTTGTGCAGCCCACTGCGGGCCAGGGGCGGTGTGGATCAGACCCTGCTCGACAAGGCCAGGCTTGTGCAGCCCACTGCGGGCCAGGGGCGGTGTGGATCAGACCCTGCACGACAAGACCTGTCCTGATCAGAGCACTGCGGGCCAGGGGTGGTGAGGATCAGACCCTGCACGACAAGGCCAGGCTTGTGCAGCCCACTGCGGGCCAGGGGCGGTGTGGATCAGACCCTGCACGACAAGGCCAGGCTTGTGCAGAGCACTGCAAAACCAGTGGCAGTGGGGATCAGATCCTGCTCGACAAGGCCAGGCTTGTGCAGCCCA